CGCTTTTCTGTTATTATCATAACTCGTATTCTCCTTCTCTCTCTCTCTCTCTCTCTCTCTGTTTCCCTCTCTCTTTCTCTCGCTCTCTTTTTGTCTCCCTTTTTCTCTCTCTCTTTCTCTTTCTCTCTCTCTCTATTACTGTCTCATCGTCGTATCACGAAATGTCTTTATGTCTGTCATCACATAACTCAAGTACATCTGCGGCTATGTATTTTGTATATCAACCCTGTAGACACCTTTGTGAATTATAGTGACGGAGACTAACAATGCTACTGTGGTTTCCGTGTCAAAAAAAAAAAAAATTAAGGCGCGAAATTTATAGCCTCCCTACCCTCAATCGTCTTAGAATTCAGATTGTTCTTTCTTGACTCGTTACTAGGTACAACCAGAAATCCTGGTTAAGCACTATTAATACCTAGCCGAGAAGGAGAGGAAGAAAGAAAGAAGTGATGGTTTCATACTTTACAAGGGTATATGCGAAAGCAAATTAAACGGTCTCGACTGTAATTTGAACTCGGTTAGCTGATTCCTCTTTCAGTGTCGATAACTGTTACACTACCCGCACATTAACTTCCGTGTAGTAAAATCAATCCTTATTTTAACCTTGCGTCAGGCTAAACGTAAAAGTAGTATAACAGGCAAATGGGGTCTGGCTTGTCATTTTCAATACTTCAAATACGAAGCTAATAACTTTTCATCATCACCGAACAGACCCCAAGTTGCAATGAACGGTTTCCTTCTCAAAGAGGTTCCTTGCTTTGAGCGTCTTTGGGGACTCATCCCGGACCTCAAGTGGAACTCATATATAAGATCCATCACTAAAAATGCAGGAAAATAATCGGCTACTTATACCACTCCAGTAAGTACCTGAGTCCTCCTGCCATGCATTATATCAAGTCAAAGAGGGAGTATTGCTGCCATATCTAGATTGGAGCTGCCAATCCCTCTATTCCCGGTCTCAACAGAGTTCAAAAGCATTTATGCAGCCTGGAAGGGGATTAATTATTTTCCACCTTGTGACACTTTTCTCCCAGATGAAACATTCCAAGCCTATCCCTATTTCCATAGAAAATGTTCTGACGAGCAACATTCCCTAGTCCCACCAATTCACCTTTATAGCTATGACCCCCCACCCCATGCAATGTATTCAAGAAACCCTTTGTATTCCATTAATAAGGAGGAAGTCCCATTCGGATATTTTCCTTCCAAGAGCCGCTACTTTATGGAATAAACTCCTGAGAGGATGCTTTCTCGGCCACTACAATCTTTAAGTCTTCAAGCCTAGGGTCAATTATCATCTATCCTACATAGCATTATAATCTACAATTCTTAAAACAATCTCATCCAATAACCCTATGCCTTGAGTGGCTTTTGAGTCTTGTGTTGAGTGAACATTAGTGTAAAAAGCACCGTGGGGTAATGGCTAATTAACTTTTTTAATTGTCTATTATTTTTGTGTATTAAGTTTGAGCCTCGTTGGGTACTCCACACTTTGGCTTTATGTCAAACTAAGCTTAGTTTAGTATATACCTATATTTTATATAATTATTTGCATTTATTTCTTTTATAAACAAAAAATATCAGTCATCTATAATCGTGAAACAACAGTAAAATATGTGTCTATGCTTAGAAGGACATGAGAATGGAAAACGAAGTTCAAGCTAATATGATCTCTGGAAAGCAATGAACAATGGTACATAGTAATGTTAACCTCTTAATGCCCACTGTCCAATTTTGGAGAAGGTGAATATTAATGAGTTATTGGCAGAAAACTATAACTAATACCTGATTCTTTTTGTGAACCTATAATTAATAGTGGATATTTTATAAAATCTGTAATTAATACTGGATTTTTATAAACCTATAATTAATACGAGATTTTGCGATGGAGATTAATGAGTCTAAGTTGAAACTTAATAAACTCGATGAACGAAAGAATTGCTTTGAAAATCATTTTCTTTTATTGATCAAATGTGGGTCTTATTTTTCGTTGTAATTCTCACCTTCATTTTTTGTATGAACGTATAATGTTGCTTTTATTTTACGATCTGCTATTGAGATGCACTTTTCATCAAAAAAGGCTGCGATTGAATTAATGTGATTAGCAATTAAGCTGATTGAAAACTCAAATCCCAAATCTTGAGTCTAATATTGAATTATCAAAACTCATTGGTTACAAATAAAAAATCTCATTGGTTACAAATTAAAAAAAAACTAATTGGTTACAAAGAAAAAAAAAACTTGAAATGATAAAATATTTTCAAGACATGCTTCAACACGTACGCAGTATCATACACATTTTTGTTATCTGAATCTGTTATTAGCATATCTCTCATCTTTCCTCTTCCTCCCACTTCTATCTATCTATCTATCTAGTTATTTTACTGTTGTTTCACGATATATATATATATATATATATATATATATATATAGATAGATAGATAGATTTCTTCTTCTTCTTCTTATTCTTCTTCAGGGTGTTAGCTCTCCGCAATATCCTATCTTTTGTAGCTTTTAGAAAATTTGGTCTTTTTGTGATTTTTCCTAAACCCTGTAAGGTCATCCACTTACACAAGCCACTTAAATAGCTTATGCACTGTTTTCCTCTTTCCCTCTTGCCTTTAATATATCCTGTGAGTGTTAAATTTTCCAAGCCCCTTTCCTCATTTTATACCTTAGAAATTTCAAATGATATTAAGGTTAACTTACTTTTTTGTTTTCATTTTTTCAAAACCTTACGCTACTCACATGTTCGGTTCATGATATTCTCAGCATCCTTCTGTAGAAACACATTTCTGCTAATTCAAGTCACTTCTCCATCTGTGAGGTGATTGTTCAGCATTCACTGGCGTACAGAAGGACCGATACTACGTAACAGTATTCTTTTTGTTGTTTCTAACGAAACTTTCCTGTTTCTTAATACTTTGCTTAACTTTTGAAAGGCATCTTTCGCAATGTACAGGGTGCGATGGATAAATTGTCGTCTAAATTATGCAAAAATGAAAATAACACTGACATCTTACTTTAATAGATATATTTATCAAAATGATACAAAAATATCTTGAAACGCTAAAGAGTAAATTTATAAATAAAATCGCATTGGCTTCAACAACGGCCTCCAGACAACTTCGGAATCTCCTGCAACTCTTCTGGACGGTCTCCTTGTTTAAGTTGGTGAATGCTGCTATAATCTTTACCTTCAGTTGATCTTTGGTGTTACAAGGAGTTTTGTTGATCTCTCGCTCAACTGCGCCCCACACATAATAATCAAGGGAGGTACAGTGTGGGGAGTTAGATGGCCAGGTGTAAGGGGTGATGTAGTCGCAGAAATTGTCTAACAGCCATAACTGTGTTCTCTTGCGTGTATGGCATGGTGCAGAGTCCAGTTGCCAGACATAGAATCTTCCAGCAGCTACCATCTTGACCCAGGGCAACACTTACCTCTTAAGGTACTTGGTGTAGGCCTCCGTGTTGTGTCTGAGGCCCTGTGGGAAGTTGAATGGAGGCATAACGTCGCCAACACTAGTGATCACTCCAAACACCTTCGTAATCATCATTAGACTCATCCAATTCTTTCCGAATACTCTGTACTGTTCTCAGATTGATACCCAAACACTCTGAAATGTTCGTATTGGAGCTTCTGGGGCAAATGCCAAGCAGTAAAACATGTCGTTTCCAAATTTCTGACGGAGTAAATTGCGTCATGGTGTTGTTTTTCTCGAAGACGGTGCCTGCTATACTGTGCAGTCGGCAAAATTTTTAAAAAAATCACAAACAACGCGCATGCGCGAAATTAAAAATATAAAATGACGACAATTTACCTATCGCACTCTGTATATAGTTAAAAAATAAAGAAGTAATTATATATATATAAACAAATAATAAAATAAAACCATTTATCAACAACATTAAGAACAGTTGTTTAATTTTGTTTATTAGGCCTTGTATCAGGGACATCTCAAGGCGGTGTAATGTTAGCAAGCTTGTCTCGCTGGAACAATTACGACTGAGTAGTGAGTTCGATCCTCATTGAGTGTCCCATACTTTCAGCCTTGTGCCACATCTAATCTACGTTTGGAAAATCACTATATATTGGGAGAAGTAGCTAGCAAGATACATGCACAGATATTTGAAGACGCATTTTTTCAAGTGTTAAATCAGTGTTTTTCAACCGGTGAAGCTGGGCAAACTAATACGCCATGAAAGGTAGCCAGGTAGTTTATAAATTATTTTTATATTTAAAATTCTTTTCTTTTTTTTTTAACCTAGAGACACCAAGCACATGGCTTCCATCTCCCTCCGAAGTCTTTGCCATTTGATATTTTAATCTGGATGCCAGATTCCTTAATCTTTAAGCAGGAGTGAATAATCCTTTCCTTTTTGCCTTCCTCAAGGGAGTTAAATCGATCACAGTCGGCCTCTCTAAAACAAAATAGCAGGTTCCTCATATATCCCTTTAAATGAAAAGTGCACCGCTTAAATGAACAATGTAATGTCTTAAAAATAAATGCTTATTTCTGGAGGCTTTAATATTTTCCTGTTTTCAGATTTCATGACTAATTTTCCTTATTAGAATTTAAAGTGAGCCCCAGTTATTCTACACGTGCACCCTGAAAATAAAACAAGAGGTTGAGAAACACTGCTTTAAATAGAAAAAAAGAACAATCATGTTTACACGTGATGTTCATTTGTAGCGTTGCTTTTTTTTCTACATATTTTCAAAAGAATCCAAATCATCAGTAAAATGGTTATATGCGTCTCTTTACGTCTACAGTTATAAGGGAATATTTCAGCCTAAATAACATTTCAACAAGAACTTAACACGCATGTATATGACGCACACAATACAGATGGATTTGATTACGTTATTCAGTGATGATTTTACAATAATGTTCACTCTGTACAAGGCCCAAAAGCCACTCGAGGTAGAGGGTTACAGAGTAAGAAGCACAGTTTATGGGGATACCTGAGGAAGATAATGGTTAACGCTAGACTTAGCTTACGGTGACATCACGTTGAAACACCGGTTCCCGTACGATGCCCGAAGTTAAGCAACGTCGAGCCTGGTCAGTACCGAGATGGGTGACTGCTTGGGAATACCATGTTCTGTAAGCTTAGATGTGCGGTTGGTGTAATGGACAGTCGCTTGGAAATTGTTAATCAGGGAGCCGAGTTCTAATTCCAGTTGGGTTCGTTATATTTAATTACGCGCAAATACCCTCGATAAAGATATGACTCTACGTCTTCCATCCTCAGCTATGGGTTAATTATTAAGACTTGTATCACTAGATCATTATTATCTCAAAAAAAAAAATTCTTGCTATGTAAAAAATATTTTCTGGCTTTAAATAACCTGCAAAAGGTTGATAAATTGTAGAAAACGAATTCCAATTAAATCAACTTTAGACTTGAATAGATTGTAGTGATCAAGGAAAAATCCTCTTGGGAGTCGGTTCAACAAAGCAGTGGTTCCTGGGAAAAGGCTACTCGAGTGGAACTTAAATGTCACCAATGAAATAGGAAAGGAATGAGAATGGCTCCCAACAATGTGCTTGGCACGACCGGTTTTCAGCCGTGAAGGTCAGAACTGGTGGAACTAAAGAATACAGTTCATCTGAACATTTGCCATGGAAATAGCGATAGAGTAGCGAGAGGCTTGTAACGTTTCACCTGTGGGGAAAGGGGTTGTAGGGTAGAAAATAATTTATCACTCACAAGGACTTAGTTGGATCTTATGTAGTTTGTGTTCCTTTCGCACTAACAACCTCGGGAAAAGCATCAATATACCTGTGACGTCATGGGTTGCGCTCTTTTGAGAGTACAATGTGACCGAATATAACCAGTCGCATGTTGCTATAAGAAAAATCGGTAAGGCCAAGTAAACATCGATCCATGGGAAAAAAAACAGTATTGTATCCAGACGGTATACTACGCCATGAGACAGTGTTGTTATAGCTTCGAGCGAGTGAAGCAGGTAGGCCTTAGTGAGGACCACCCTTCTTTGTAAACAAAGAACTGTATCAGATAATAGAAATCACATCACTTGAGAAATTTCAACAGAAGCAGCAACCAAAGTGGATTGCACATGTAACTCAAAAAGAAAATAATGATATTATCAGGATGTTAATGTTCTATATTAATTTAAACAAAAAGTTAGAAATAAAACTCTCATCAATACTAGAAAGAGCAATAACAGCTACTGGACATGAGAAAAAATTTTTTTTTTCCTGAACAATTGTTTTGATAGAAAGAGTTAATAAATGTCAGCCCGTCCTGGGTATAATGATAAACTACATCCGCGTCCTGGGTAAGACGATGATCAGGAGGTTTTGAGGAGCGTGGAACCACCTCTTAATTGCTGGTATTCCCAGGTTCACCCTAACCCGGCTTCCCTCTGTCTTTTCTATAAATAATTTCATGGCAGTTGTTCTGATAAGCCCTCTTCACTGGAACCACGTCCGCATTAATTTAAGCGTACTACTAAGTTGGCAAGTCGGTTTCATCGTTTTGCTGTTGAATTACGTAAATATAACCATAATTTATATTCTAATAGTGACATTTCTTACCCGTGGAACTCTCTTCAGGTTTGTTGCATTCCTGCCAACTACGATCTTCAAATATTTAAATGCAGGAGCAATCGCCATCTTCTGTCTTCTTGAAACTTCTTCTTTTATTATCCTTTCTGCCTACTAAAGGCTCTACATTCTATTTTGATCTCAGTAATCCAAGGCGTCTTAGTGGTATCATCACTTTGCTTGGGATGAAATGGTTAAAAAAAATAGAACGTTAATGATTTCATTGTATCATTATTTCCCTTTCAATAACCAGAGTAGCGCATCCACAAAACAAATCCTAGTTTTAGTTTGTTTAAATATATTCATGGTGCTAAATTGATTCATCTAGGAATCAGTTACATATAAATAGATTCAAAATGTGTGTGATCGCATATATATATATATATATATATATATATATATATATATATATTATAAATTAACTGGTATAAATATGGTTTCCTCGCTACACAGGAATTACCATGCTTCAAAAACTGAAGCTAAAAACTTCAAATATAATTATACCTCGGTTTTTGAAACTGTGTAGCAAAGAAACCATATTTTAAATCAGTTAATTTATAATATTTATGCTCTGTAAATTTACATTGAGTACTGCATTGTAAAAAATAAAATATCAGTTAAGAACACCGGATTATATATCTTCTTCTTTCTTTTTTTTTTATATTTTATATATATATATATATATATATATATATATATATATATATATATATATATACTCGTGAGTTCTTAAAAAGGAATATATATATAATATATATGTATGCATACACACACATATATATATGTAAAAAACACCAAATATATATACACATTATAAAACATATATACAAACACACACATATATATATATACACATATATATATGCATATACATACATTATATATATAGATATATATACATTGTAAATATATATACACATCATATACATATATATATATACACACACATATATTAGTATTGTCTATGAATGACATAATATATATATATATATATATATATATATATATATATATATATATATATATAGATAGATAGATAGATAGATAGATAGATAGATGAATAAATAAATAACATCAGATATATATATAGTTTAATATATTTTCTGTTTATACGTTATTTTTATAGATACAAATCTTTAAGTAAATGCTCTGTTTATAATAAACATTATTAACTACATTTACCGGCCTGAATATAGTTAAGACTGTTTATTATAAACAGAGCATTTACTTAAATAGTTGTATCTATAAAAATAACGAATAGACAGAAAATATATTAAAATAATTGTCGGAGACTCCATTTCATTATATATATATATATATATATATATATATATATATAAACAGATGTTAGATAAATGAACTTTTAATATTATTTGTTATTATACATTATTAAAAACTTTTTGATTAATTTTTTTATTAACTTTTTCAGTGTTTCTAATATCTTGAGTGTAGTAATTTCCGGTTGATATTTGCAAATGGAAATTTTCATGTCTAAGTACTTTCGTCTAACTCTTTTGTTAAGTCGTCTCGGGTGCTGTTTTTTTTTTTTTTTTTTTTTTTTTTTCGTGGATTCACATGGCTGATTATGTCTCCTACTTTTTTTCGATGCTTTGTTATCAAACGTGCATACATAATTTTCCTTGTTTTATACTCAAGCATACATATATCTCTCTCTGTGTGTTTGTGCGTGTGTATTTATGCAATGTGTATTTTGACAGCAAATTATCTTGTTTGCTTATTTCATTAAAGATTACGAAAAAAATTCTTTGAACAAGTTCTTTAAATTCATTCTTCTTGTTTTCTTATAATTATTTTTCATTATTGGTTCAAGATGATAAATGTTCTCTTTCACCAAGTACTTTCAGCCACTTTGGCCATCGTTATGAAGGAAGTTTTTTTTTTTCCATCGCGTTAATTCCAGCATGTATCTTTGATTGTTCTATTTGTGCTGTGTGTTTGTCATTAACGTTATATTTAAATATGAATGGTTTCATGTCACGTGGTCTGGTATTAAGTGTTGTTAAAAAAAAAATTCTCTTTACATGAGGATGTTACTTGATTTGTTTTGTTTTAATTTTTAAATATCGACATGAAAACATGAAATATTAATTATAAACATATTAAATCTTTTCGCATTCATTATATATATATATATATATATATATATATATATATATATAATAAAGACCTATGCACCTATATATATTTATATATTTTACATATGTAAGGAGTATATTTACCACTAATATTAGCTATACACACACACACACACACACACACACACACACACATATATATATATATATAAAGATAATGAGACAAGGTGCAAAAGCTATAAACAACGCGTTTCGCCGAGAGCGTCTGCTCCCTCTGGCTTCTTCAGATTAGAATGAAGGAAATGCAAAACTCTATGTAGGGTAAAATGCATTGGGATCTCTGAGGATCATGAATCAAATTACCTTATCACATCCGCTGAACCGACCACAGGGAATGTCCCAGTTTTATATACATATATATATATATATATATATATATATATATATATATATATATATATATATATATATATATATATATATATTAGAGTCGTCTTGAGTCTGTTGGATTTTAAGTCGGTCCGCCTAAACTAGAATGTGCTTTTTTTGTATATACTAGTACACACACACGTACATATATATATATATATATATATATATATATATATATATATATATATATATATATAATTTATGTGTATATTAATAGTCGTCAAAGAATTCAAGGTTAATTTGTTGTGCTTGCGTAACATCGTGCAATGGTTACGAAGCTTTATCTCACAAAATATTTTGTTTGTCAATGTGAAGTCAATCCTAACAAGGGGTTACTAAACTTGCTTTGAACTATTTCCTAAATTCAGTATTTCAGTGTGTGTGTGTGTGTGAGCGCGCGAGCGTGTGTGTTTGTGTGTTTGTGTCTGTGTGTTTGTGTAGTTATTTTTCTTGATGATTAAGTATAGATTTTAATTTTTTTAGAAATAATAGCATAATTATTACACATTTTAACAATCCGTTTTTATCTGTATAAATGTAAGCAGAAATATTCTTTTACATACGTACTTAGATAGATAGATAGATAGATAGATAGATAGATAGATAGATAGATAGATAGATAGATAGATAGATTTACACTCACTGTCATTGTCTAAATAGAGTATTTGACCGGGTCTTATAGCCTTGAGTGGCAGCAAGTGTTGGAGAATGGTTTCTCTGAAGCCAAGACCGCAGGGAAATAAAAGGGAAACCACTTCATTACGTTTCCCCAAAAAGTTACAGCGATACACACTTGATAACGTAAAAGGTTTCTGTGAAGAGTCATAGCTTAAAAAAAAACAAAAAAAAAACATCACAGAAATATACACGTTCACAAATATTACACACACACACACATACACGTTCACAAATAATATTACACACACACAAATGCGTGCGCGCGCGCGCACACACACACACATGAATCAACTCCACTCTACGGGAAATTTTATACTGAACTTTTGATAGAATTCACTATTTAAATTTATTTTACTTGACTTAGGATTTGACATTTACCTTCATCTGCATTAATATTCTTTATCACATTTACTTTTTTTTCTGTGTCTTGAAAGGAATGTAAGTCAATAGTTGATTTCAAAGACCATCTGCACAGCCACATGTGCATTGAAAAAATTAAAAAAAAAACAATGCTATTTGGTCGCCATTTTCTTAAACGTGTGGTTCAACATCATCAATCATTATACAACAGTAAGGATATTCGGTGTTATCCGGGAGACAAAAACAATAATGCAGAAAAAATAAGTTCTTGATATCAACTGATAATGGCTATAATAAATTTGGCGTGCAGAGTTCAATTGCCATTCGATTCCTTCCTGCGTAAATTCCTCTTTTGGGGTAATTTCGCATTTTCTTATCATCTCTCAGTTGCGTCTCTGTCCTGGACAGAGTGCGCTCAGGGGCTTCTCTGTCAAAGGACAGAGGGGCAACTGAGAAAAAAATTATACTGAAGAGGTACCCAGCCCTGGGGGAACAGCTGCCCGGAGGCCGAGCCCTCCCATTGCACAAGAGGAAGGGATCGGGGCTCGCACCGAGGCCAGTGCAACCGACGGTTGCGGGGGCTGAGGGGAATTTTTGTCCCTGCCCGAGGGTACGCGCTCGGGTCCCCACATTAATCTGACCTTGTGTCACATCTCATTCTCGTGGGGGAATGGGTAAATACCATTGCCATTCGATTCAGTTTCGTTTCTCGACACGCTAATGGCCCTGGAAGAGGCATGAATCCATCTTCCTCTAGTTTTTTTTTTTAAATAAATTCACCCCAAGCAAGGTCACAATGCCACTAAGACGCACGGGCTTCTGGGAGTGAAAGATAATGAAAAGATTTCAGACAGAACCGTAAGCCCAATCTTGAACAGGAAACAATGCATAAACCTCTTCTCCTGTTGAAAAGACCGGGGAGTGGTGTGAACCGGGCGACAAGTGAATCTATCTCTTCCTAATGTGGAAAAATAAATAGTAAATAAAATTTCAAAATTATGGGTTTAGTAGTAGAGCGGACTGGGCTCACTTGCTTTGAGGCTGCAACCAGTCTAGGAGAAGGAAAACTCTAAATTCAAAATGAGCCTGAAGATTGGCTCCGTCGGACTATCTTGCTCTAGACATATCACTGCTGCTATGACTGCCGTAAATGTGGTGAGACTACAACCCTAAGGGGTTTCGAAACTCGGACACAACGCAGCAAATAAAAAAAAATGTATGTAAAGCCTGTATGAATTTTCTTTGATGTTGCTGGTGCTAGGTAGCCCAAGAACAATGAAAATAAATCTGTCCATAGAAAAAAGTATGGAAAAGGTAGATTGTGATTAGCAATTTTTGCCTTGTTAATAGTTGTGACAAAACCGAGACTCAGTGAGAATTAAAGTGGCTTGGATTCAAATGACATGTCTTTTTTAATTATGGGGATTCAGAAAATGAACAAATCCTTCATTTAGCCGAACCCAGTAAGGATATTTTCGTCGATAACATGAAAGAGAAGATGCTCGATAGCTGAGCGTGTTTAATTGTACAACTCTGGGAGGGTCGAGATTTCTAAAATGTATGATGGGTCGGAACACCTGGAATCAAAAGAGAGATGGGTAATTCAAATGGCTTTTGGGCAACCTTAGAAGTGTATGTTATCTGCTATAAAAATTGAGTTTATTTATTTGGTTGGATCATTCTTTGGTGCAAGAATACTTTGCTCACAAAATCACTGGCATTACAAAATGTAGTTTTACATCAATTTTTTTTACATTTGAAATAACTAAATTTTTCTCTGTAAAAACATTTTTAGACGAAGTAAAGATTTAAAAAAAAAAAAAAAAGAAAAAATCAATATGCTTTAATTTAATCCAATCATCTTGCAGGTCACCACAACCGGTCCTATTATTTTTTTCTGGCCAAGTTACATTCACGCACCAATTTATCTAAAAAAAAAAAAAGAAAAAATGAAAGGCTACAATATTAAGAATAAAGGCCTTGAACTAATTTTACCACCAATGATTTCCGGTGAATTGGCTGGAAAGATCTAATTTGATCTTATCCACCCTATTCATGAACTTTCAACTGTGTAGAAAAAACAATAAGTCACACCATTTTTTGCACACAGACACACATATTTCTATGTGCGTGTGTGTGTGCGTGTGTGTGTGTGTGTGTGATGGCTATCGACATGTTATTCGAGTTTGACTATTTTTCACACATAAACATATTACATTAATACACATCCATGCTTACACACACACACAAAAATATATATATATATATATATATATATATATATGGTCGGAGTGGAATTATATATATTCGAGCTGTTTATTTTGTATAATAATAGCTTCTGTGGTTTAGTGTCTTCCCTTGCATTGAAGACTGTAGTGTATTTTTGTATTATCCCCTGATATTTGTTTTATATTGATTAACAGAGACTCGTGCCTACTCATCTACAAAAGTGAATGTCCTTATATACAAAACAGTTTAAAGGAATGTCATAAGATTCATTATTTAAGCATTTACACAAATACTCTCGAATCTGATGAAGCCTTTAATGGCGAAATGCATTATCAAATCTATTTTCAATCGAATCTGTCTTATGAAACTTTTCCATTTGTCAAAATTTTGAAAAATTGTCGGAATTTCTATTCCCTAGCTTAAACACACACACACACACACACACACACACACACACACACACACACATATATATATATATATATATATATATATATATATATATATATATATATATATAATCTATATATGATAAAATAATAATAAATAATTATCGCTCTACTATCGGTACCGAGCCCACTTTTGAATTAATGCTATGGACGTTAGAATTTTATATATTACGTTCTCGTTCTTATTAGATATATATATATATATATATATATATATATATATATATATATATAATTCAATCGTGACACAACATCCTATGTTTCAAAAACGGAAAATCCAAATCTAAAATAAAAGCTAAGAACTCTGAATTATAAATCTCACTGTTCTTTTCCATTTTTATAATATATATATATATATATATATATATATATATATATATATATATATATATATATATATATGGCGGATGCGTATATATATGTTGTGCTACTCTGAGGTACACTATGTACCCGCATGAAATAATTTTTTGAATTTTTGCTGTATATATATATATATATATATTCGATTCGTTGGTATATAATCCGAGTGGATCCTAGTAATATTAATTATTAAAACTAATCCACAGAGTGCTCGATGTATTTATTATAACAGAGCATATGTATTTTTATAGCAAAAAACAAAGTTACCTCAACGTAGGGATAGTCTATTTCAAGCTGGTCTGTACGCAGCTATCATCAGCCCCTATATATATATATATATATATATATATATATATATATATATATATATATATATATATATATATATATGTATGTATGTATGTATTAATACCTGGAGATACGAGTTTAATTGGTTCCAAAACCAAGTCCGTAACTCAAGTGACTCGTATCTCAAATCAGTTTTTCCCATTGGAATTAATGGGAATATTTCCGATCTGTTCCCGGTCCCTAAAACTCACGCCTATTTTTGTATTTGTGATTTTCTTCCAAGCAAAAACGCGTGAATAAACAAGAAATGTAATTTACCAACAATAGAATAAAGCGAGGGGGGGGGGACAATAACAGCTTGGTTAGCAACCGCTATCCTAGGCTAGCAACGGTACCAAAGATTAATTCTATCGCTTAAATTTTAATTTTTTTAAATCATTTACATTTTATCCATTACTGTAATTAATTTTTTTAACTTATTTAAATTTTATAATTATTTTATATATCGTCGATGTAGAACGCTTCTACTGTCTCGCCAAACCCATTACTCGTACGTCTTCCGCTCGAACGTCTTCTTTTTTAATAATTTCCCGCCTTGCCTCAAGAGAAATCATACTTTTCACCACTGCTCTTTACACTTACTTTCTTCGAACCCATGATGAAAGGAATCTTGCGAAATAGAGGCAAAAAGACACAACTCAACACAACAGAGATCTTTTCAGAACAGAGGTGAACACGTGTACAGCGAGTGGAAATACTCTCGTAGCTTGATGTTTGCTGCGCCAACGAGCGGATGCTTAACTGGTATCTCAAAATTGGGTCGTAACTCAAGACAAAAGATCGGTCAAACTCCGGCATGTATCTCAAAATCTCGTATATCGGTACACATATCACAAGGCATTATTATATATATATATATATATATATATATATATATATATATATATATATATATATATATATTAGAAACATATATTAGAAAAATGTTAAAACCGAATATATATATATACATTTTTACAAATAGATATATTGTCAAAAAATAATTCTAAAATCACACCATATTTTATTCTCATTCTGTATATATATATATATATATATATATATATATATATATATATATCGTTGGATAGATGAGATTTGAGACCCTGGGTTTCACGCTTTAGCGATCGTCAGACAAACTTTGTCTGACGATCGCTAAAGCGTGAAACCCAGAGTCATAAACTCACATCTATCCAACCAAATATGTTAGCTCTATCTCTGATATTGAGCGTTTTCTAATAAGTACAGC